TGTGAAGGCAGTTGATCATTTTCATAAATACCTGTATGGCCAAGAATTTTTAATTAGGACAGATCATGCGGCTCTCAAATGGCTTATGGAGATGAAACAACCTGAAGGTCAAATAGCACGATGGCTCGAGAAGCTCCAGCAGTATCACTTTACCATCCAACATCGTGCTGGAAAGATGCATGGTAACGCAGACGGTTTATCCAGAAGACCCTGTCAAATCGATTGTAAGCACTGCAGTAAAACGGAACAACGTGAAATTACTGTCATGATAAGGAGTTTTAAGCTTGGAACCGATGAACAGTGGACGACGACACAATTGAGGAACGACCAAATGGAAGATCCAGACATCGGAGCAATACTACGGCTCAAGGAAGGTAACGGCGAGAGACCACCGTGGCAGGATATTGCAAACAGAGGGCTCGTTTTCAAAGCTCTCTGGGCTCAGTGGAATTCACTGGTTATTGAGAATGGATTGTTAAAGCGCACGTGGGAAAGTGCGGATGGCAGGACAGTAACAACTCAGTTACTGTACCAAGGAAGAAAGTTACCCAGGTATTGGAAGAAATTCACGGTGGTAAAACTGGAGCCCATCTTGGGGTAAACAAGACCTTGAGCAAGCTGAGAGATCGCTTTTACTGGGTGGATTATTGCGAAGATGTCAAGAAATGGTGTCGACAATGTAAAATTTGTGCAGCCAGCCAAGAACCAACCACTCGATCTAGGGGAAAAATGAAACAATATAACGTTGGACTGCCATTCGAAAGAATCGCTGTTGACATTGCAGGCCCATTCCCTGAAACGCACAAGGGCAACAAGTACGTTTTAGTGGCGATGGATTATTTCAGTAAATGGCCAGAAGTTTTTGCCATTCCAAACCAAGAAGCATCGACTGTAGCTGAAGTATTAGTCAATAATGTCTTCAGTAGATTTGGAATTCCTTTAGAGCTTCACACTGACCAAGGAAGGAACTTCGAGTCAAGACTGTTCCAGAAGATGTGTGATCTGCTTGGTATTCACAAGACTAGGACAACAGCTTTACATCCGCAGTCTGATGGGATGGTCGAGAGATTCAATAAGACCATTGAAGAACATCTCTCGAAAATGGTGGATGAACATCAAAGAGATTGGGATCAGCATATACCACTATTCCTAATGGCATATAGAAGTGCAGTTCACAACACCACCGGACTTTCACCATCGAAGATTTTATTTGGTCGAGAATTACGGTTGCCTTGTGACTTGGTGTTCGGATCACCAGACGACAGCACCACGAACGTAGAGGACTACGCGGATGAACTGAAGGAAAGGTTATTGGGAATTCATAAGGCCGTGAGAAGTAAGATTACGCTAGCCAGTGACCGGATGAAAGCTCGTTACGACCTCAGAGCTAATTCTACGGGATTTCAACAGGACGATATGGTATGGTTATATAACCCACAGCGCAAGAAAGGGAGGTCCCCAAAGTTAACTCCAGCTGGGAAGGTCCTTATACAGTCATCAAGAGGATAAATGATGTTGTGTATCGGATTCAACGCAGCCCTAGAAGTAAGATGAAAGTAGTTCATCTGGATCGATTGAAGAGATACCAGACAGGAAACCTTGATCGGGACGATCAAATTTGAGAAGGGGGCAATGTCAAGGTGTATTACTGGTTGCATAACTGCATACTGCAAAAAAAAATCGTGCATTGAGGAACCTGGCGCATTCGCCAGAAAGTAAAGAAAATTATAGAATTCTTTAGAAAAATCTAGAAACAACCGCCAGGGGGTATATAAGGCCCGCGCTTTGACAGTTGGACAAGTTTAAAGTTTGAAGTCTGAAGATAGTCTGAAGTCTGAAGTTTGAAAATACCGCGAAATACCGTTAGAGTAATAGTAGTTGCATAAGTTGTGTTGTAAATAGTATAAGTTGTGTGTACAGAGTGAAACAAATAAATTCGTTAAGTATTTTATCGTGAGTTTAAATAGTGGACCCACGGAATCCGTAACAATATATTCAAATATATTCTATACTTATTTAAATATATTCTATACTTATTCTAATAAACAATTTAAAAATGCACTTATTTAGGTGATTGAAACAATCAAATGATTTATTCACAAGTTCATCAAAAATACCAATAACTCTGATTAACAGCGTATTATCTAAAAGCTACACAAGTTTGTTTTTAGAGTGCAGTTTTGCAGCGTTTTATATAAACTTACCACTTTATTACCACTGCGAACGGCAGCTTTTCGTTGGTAGAGCAATCGTGGATAAGGTATTTCACTGGAAAGAACTAATTAACAATAACTCGAAATTATAAATATTGGGCGCCAGGCTTGAACAGAGAAAGAAAACACAGTTGTTTATTACTTAAAACAAGTGACTATATTCATTCATCATGTATCCTGATGGTAAATAGCATTGTACAATTTTAATAATTATTATAGTTGTTATATGTCGAGTAAAGCTTTGTATGTAAATAATATTAAATATGTTCTGTGAAAAGACTATGAAAAAATACAATGCATGTAACGTTATAGAAAATATAAGAAAGGTAGCATTACTTTATTTAAATTGTTAAATTTTATGCGGTGTTAAATCTGATATGTTGCAACCTGTAGATTCTAGAATCTATGTCTGGTTATTCATCTGTTAATATAGCGTAATAATAATATCTATAGAAAGTAATACTATTACAAGGCGTAATGTAATGAAATCTAAAATCTAAATCATATTGAAACAACTAAATCGACATAAATGTTCTTAATAATCTAACCACTAAATATAGTCTGTACGATATTATATAAAATGTACGTTAAGACTGAAACTCGACTGAAAACCAGAACCTAAATCTACACTTAGCTGTTCTTGAGGCAATCCTGTTTCAAAGAGTAGCAGCGTGAAGTGGGCTCATATCTCTGTACTGTCTGTCGGCGATCCTGTTGGCCAAAACAACAAAAGGGGCCAGAATGAGGACACCATGAATCAATACAGCCGTAGCTACTGACTAGGCTTAGAAATGGGAGCGAAGCAGCATGGGGCTTACGCTGTATCCATACTGTGGCAATATGGGGACACTACCCGTACCTTGGAACACTACTAGGACCTTGGATAATGTCCGTAACCTTGGAATCAATACATAGATATGGGACACCTGCCCATACCTTGGACACAGTCCGTCCATAAGATAACAGTACAGGGGAACACTACCCGTACCTTGGACACAGTCCGTCCATAAGATAATGTACGTCCATAAGACAATGTACGTTCATAAGACAATGTACGTCCATAAGACCCTAAAAATACGAAACTCTTGTTTAGAACCAAACAAGATCTAATAAACAAAATAAACCTACCTCGAAACACTTCCCGAGGGCTCAATAATAATCAAAGAAACTGTCCTTTCTTCCATGTAACATTCTGGAGGACAAAAGAAAAGTGCCAAGCAAAAACGTGCCAGCAAAATACAAATACAAGTTAAGTTGGGACATCCAAAACTCTATCCTAAAAATATGCAGTAATAATATCGAATCTAAAAGGATAATATTTCATCTTTACCTGTTGCTTTGAAATAGCAGCTGATTCAGATTATACAGCAAGATTTAAATAATTACCGTTTCTAAAAGCCGGGATGGTTAGGTTAGGCTACAGAGCGCTAAAAGCAAAAGTGAGTCCACAGCACAGAGAGTTGACAGAAGCGATGTTGACAGCGCCTCCACAGAGCGATAACAGGGTTGTGTCAAACGATAACAGGGTTGTGGACTAGAGAACGTAAAAATTACGCCAAGCGCGTCAAATAAATTATCCGGCCTGAAAGATAGGGAATCCGGTGATGATACGCCAGACATCATATATTATATATAAAAAATACATGTAACGATCTAAAAACGTTACAGTTTATTAAAATACCAAGATGGAAAGCGAAACTAAATAAAATTAAATAATAATACTCTTAAACTAGGTTAATTTTTGTTACAAAGTTAAATAATCTGATTCTTATGCACGCCGCCTTACAGTGCTCCCACCTCATGAAGCCGTCAAAATAGTAGTTCTCTTCGTTTGCAAAATAGTCCTTGGAATCTTTAGTCCGAGCGCTTAGTCTTTTAGACCGAACTTCCAGCTTGAGAGTGAAAGAAGTCTTGTGAACCAAAATCTGGCTAATACGAACGTTTGTCATCACACAGTAGTCCTTGAATTTTCGCCCTGGTAATCACAGAGGTGTGCGATTGTACATTGCCTTGGTAAAACAAAATTGTCTTCTTCTGCTTCTTCTGTTATAGAACTATTTGCCTTTTAGGAGGTACTTATCTCCCCATTAACAGTCCACAGTTAATTGTGTGTTCAACTTTTGTCTACTTTGATTAATTGGCGCCATGACCTGAATTTATTTCATCCTAACTGTACTAACAGATCCTCTAAAATTGTAATTAAAATAGGTTTTCCTCCAAAGTTAGCATATACTATAACCTCGGAGAGCCCTTTTATGCCTAAATCTTGATTGAATACAAGTTCCCTATTTTTGTTACTTTAGTTCGTTTATCTAGCAATATTTGGTAATCTTAAGCATGTTTAAAATCAGCTACCCACAATTTTCCGGTGGTAGATTATGTGCAGAGTATTCATATACACCACCCAACTTGTCAGTGATTTGCCTTTAGATATTTGCTTTTCAAAAATTAATTTTTGATGTCGGCTTGGTACTCGATTTTATTCAATTCTACAATAACCCTTACTTTGACTTACTCAAGCGACTGTCAAACTAAACTATATATGTATCGAAATCTTTGGAAATCCTTACAATAATTCTTACTTCATCCTTCTCTCATAGTTTTATCTGTCATTTTAATTCAATTAGTATATTGTTTTTCTGTCGTTTTTTGGTTGAGCTATGATGTTTATGATATTTGCTCTATGATTAATGCTTTGTGCTAATTTTAAGGCGAAAAGTAACAAGTTTTATTAGTTTAAAAATAATTTATTTAGTTTAAAAATGTATATATCCATTTTTGTTTAAGTTGGAGGGCAAGGGTAGTTCGAAAAAGGAAGGCCTGCAGAAATCCACGTCTCAACAACATATATCCCAGAAAAACCATCCACCGTTGTTTTCGTCTAAGTCTACAATATCACTAGTACAGGAACCGGACGTCAATAAACATAATATAGAGGTAACAAAAAACAGTGTATTGTAAAGGCTTACTGTTTATTAAATTGAATTATACAGGGTGTGTTACCAAGTTTGGGTCGTGAGTTACAAAAATTTCTTTACATAGGTGACTGTAATATCAGAGAAAAGTTCAGAATTTAATTTTACATTTATAATTTTTTCAGTTTCCTAAAATACAGGGAACATCCATCAGTTTAGTTATGTAGTTCAATATGTTGGATAAAGTTTTTCTTATCTATACCCCCTAAAAATGTAATTTTTGAATTTTTCTAATTATATACTGGATAGTAAAGGAAAACATTGTATTAGAAATTATTCTTTTTGGATTTACTTTTGATCAAGAATAGAATATCGTTTTATTAGGAGTTAAAATTATCTTTTTTGTGGCGAGGCTGTATGCGTATTTGACATTACACGCTAGGCACAAAAAGTAATCTTACTCCGAATAGAACATACTATTTTTTTTCAAACATCGTAATTAATTTTTTGTGAAAGCGTTTCGAAATTGACAGTTTTTGATATTTATTTGAGATTCAAAATGGCGTTCTTTTAGGCATTAGTATCTAAAAATGACATTTGATTAGGCACTAGTGCCTAAAAGTAAAAAATGAAACGTTAGAAACAATGAAAATATTTATTTATTATAAATCTTAAAGGTACAATTATTTAAATTATTAAAGTGAATACAAGAGGCATCCAACTTTTCGTCTCTAAGAGAAATGCAAGTTGTAGGAGTCGGAATAAGTAAATTTCTTGTACTGGCAATGCTGGTAGCTTCTGCTTCTACGTGAACTGCTTTTAATTTCTTGTTTGGCGTATCTTTCTATCCCATGATTCTTTTTGCTATTTCGGTTTTCTGTTCAATTGAATTTTCAATGTAGCCTTCAGCAACCAAGCTTGATCGCCAACCACCATGTCGCTTTATAACTGTTATGTCCGCTCCTGAATCTGCCAGCATTGTTGCAGAGCTGCGCCGGAAACAATGACCAGTGTATTCAATGGCGTTGGAGGGTCCAATAAATTCCGCTATCTTTTTTGGCATACCTCCAATTGTATTGATTCCAACTGGCAGGGTACAGCATTGATTTTTTCGATACGTCAGGAAAAATCGCTTATGTGTCACATTGAGTGGTCGAAGTTTTGCGTACTTACGAAATACATGTAAGAAATTGATACGATCTATTGGTCCCTCAGTAATCGTATAAACTCGTGGAAAATGAGTTTTTGTATTCGGAATCTTCACACTAATAAATGACTGACAGTCTTTAATGGCATCTACGGTCAAAAACGTGATTTCTTCACTCCTACATGCTCCAAATACTTCAACGATTAAGACAACTTTAGCTAACAGGAATTTTTTGTCATCGGCTTCTTTCATAAAGCGTTCTATTTCCAGTTTTGTAAATATTTTTGATTTTTTTGCCTGATATCTGGAAGCTTTTCTTTTTAAAAATGCAATAAGATTTATGAATTTGCTAATATCTACGTTCCTGTTCAGTTAAATTATGGTGGGGAGCATCGAATATTTACTCCACAGAGTTGACGGCTTTAAGGTAGTGGATAACTTCAGGAAATAGCAATACCTTTTTTGTGCAATTCTCAACATGCTTTTCTTTGACCCAGTTTTCAAAGTTGTTGTAGGTGGTCTTGTATAAGTTTTTCGACTTCTCGGGCACTAACATAGATAGCGCAGTTTCAGCAGCTTGTTGAATATCCAAAGACTCGTCATTACTCATTTTTTCACAAAACTTTGTAGGAAATACGGCGACGTTTGAACCTGACAGAACTTTGTCATTAAACAATGCCTTAGAAACCGATTACCAGAACAATTTAAAAAATGTTTAAAAGTAAATAATAATAATACTAGCATAAAAATCTCAAATTATCCGCTTTCGCAAAAAAATCTTGTATGAAATTCGTTGCGAGAAGAGTGTTTTATTACATTACATTAGTGCATTACAATGACAATTTTGCGTCCCGTGCTTAAAACACATTCATTTCGCAACTTGTTACATAAACAGCTATTTTAAAAAAATTTAAACACTCCAAATAATATAAAAAGATTTTAAAGTAATATAAAGAAATTTTTAAATATTTAATAATTTAGCATGCCCAATTAGAAGATAATTCATTTAAGTAGTGACTTTTTAGAATTATTAATTATTTACTGATTACTGTTGTATGTAGGAATCAATATTATCTTCAAAGAATTCAGAAGTGCCATCCGACAGTAGCTCCCCAGACGAGGATCACCATCCACCACTACTTTTAAATACAACAGACAAAATTCTAAAAGAACCCCCTGGTAACACCAACAGAATCAGAGCGAAATCGGAGGGACCGCCGTTCAAACACATAGAAGATCAGCAGCATACAGTCCCACGTACCACAGAAAATAAGTAAGGTTATTGTCAAACGCTACTTAACGATTTGTTGTTATAAATGAGCTTTTTAAGAGTGGAGGATACCGAATTTGAAAAGCTACACGAAGATTTTGTGTTGAAGCTGGTCGGTGTGGAAGAAGAATCGGGCCCAGTGAAACAGAGTCAGTCACATACAGGTTTCGAAGCGGCGAATTTGCCACCTCCTCCGAATTTAGCAGTGCCGGGACAAGATAAATGGTTCTATCAGGATCCTCAAGTAAATCTACATTTTTCTTTTTTTTTTCTTTTTTCTAAAATTTTATGTTTTTGTCCAGCAAAGGGGATGATTTCAATACAGGACATCCAAAAGTTAACAAAAAAATTACTTTTCAAATAATCTTTTTCAGCGATTGTTCAACGTCACGTCATATATTGTCCAACTCTCTTTCACTTGAAAACCAGATGAAAGAGATTGGTGGCGTCATTACGGCATTTCGTAAATTACTGCACATTGTGGCAGTTGTTATTTGATTTGAGATTATAATTTTATTGACGGATATCAATATCAAAATTATAAATTGACCGTGTTGTGAAATAACACTCAGTTTTTTTACTACAACTAACTTAAATGTCTCGCCAATTTAGCAATATATATGTTAAACGAGGAGAAGACGTAAAGCACTCTTACCCGTGGATGTCGTATATAAAGTAATAATATTCAAAGTGGAAATAGTTTTCTTGCAGTTTTACATATATAAATAGATTATATAATTCTTGCCTTTTCTTTTCATTTCTCCCATTTCGGGGAAATCATCCAACCACGGCAGTTCGCGGCAAGAATTATATAATAACTCTGTTTTTTTCTCAGGTAAGATTTATATTTTTTAAGTTAACTATATGGATATGGATGGGTTTATATATAAATCCGTCATGCGTCGTCCCTTGTTTTTTTAACGAGTTTTCTTGGTTTATTTCAAAAATGACAGATCATATTTTGAATATTATTGGAGTGACGGAACGATGAACGAATCTCGGACGCAGATGCGTATGAACTCGCCTTTATATTTTTGAGGCTTGTCAAAGTCTTGTTAAATTATAGGTTATAATTTTTTTGTCAATTTATGTCAAATGCGTTTTAGAAGATGATGTATTTTGATTTGTGTTATTACGTGTGTTTTATGTCTTTTGAATTTAAGTGAAGGAAAAATTGGGGGAAAATTAACTGTAGACCCAGAGCACAGTTTATAGTTAATATTCGGTGCCCAGGCAGAGAGGTTTATACACCAATAAAGTCACTCAAAACTGGAGTAAATGTAAAATAACATCACACGATAGGTAAATAATCGATTTTAGTACTGTAGAAAGATAATGTCAAAAGGTAGTGGTTTAAAAAATTACGATTAAAGTTAATTGATCAACTTTAATGTATAAAATTTGCCAAGTGTTATTATTAATAAAATATTTTGTTTTATTTATTCTTGCGGAATATTACAAATTTTTATTTATACATAAGTTATATGTTATATTGATAAATATAATAATAAATGCAGGAAGTTTCTTGAAGCTAGAAAGTAAGAAATAGTTCTTTTTTATACTTTTTTGGTATGTGGTTTTTGTTCTTATTTGTTTTGTATTAACACATGCTTTAATTTTTTTTTAATAAAATAACCCGATTAGATTTTTTCAGTTTTATACAGTTTTTTTTTCACAATATTTTGAAGTATTCACTTGTCACTCAAATTTTAAATATATTAATTTCCTGCTATGCGTTCCAATTGGACCAATTTATTAAGATGACCGACACATTTATCACTTTCAAGGATTTTGTCGTATGACAGACTATATAATCTATTTATATACATAAAACTGCAAGAAAACTATTTCCACTTTGTATATTCAGGCTGCCGAAAAAAGCCTTAATCGATATTCTTCACCCAGGTCCGTACCCAGGTGTACGCAAGTACGGCCATCGCACGGGTAGGTGTCTACCAGATCTCCACTATACAGGGTGGTCCGAACTGTATTCCCGAAACGTCGGTAGCATATTCTGCAGATAAAAATAAGTAAAGAAGTTTGTATAAATGTATGTCCTAAAATGCTTAGTTTTGGAGATACAGGTGTAGAAGTTTCATTTTTATATCGATTTTTTCCAAATAATTTCTGAAGTAACGTCAATATTTGAATGAAAATTGGTGTCTAAGAGTTTTTTGACATGAGAAATTCGATTTTGATGTCAATATGACTCCTACTTGTAGAGGGCGCCACCTACATACTTTTTAACTAGTTTGAACAGTAATAGACTGTAATCATAAATTTGAAATGTTTTTGTACCAAAAGTTCAATAGAAACTGTTTTATTATTATTTTTTGGAAGAAAAAATTATGATTAATTTAAAAAATCAAAAGTTAATTTTAAACCAATTAACCCAAATTAAACGCATATTTGACAAATGATGATGACGTAACGTTGAACGATCGCTGAACAGTCTTTACAATGACTGACAACTGTCATTGTCTTGTATTCTTTCATTGGACAGGCCATTGAATAACAAAACTAACAAAGGAGTCTTAGTGTGAGTTTACACACATCCATAGTTCGTTGTCCGTCGTTGATTTTATGCAATTTTATTGGTTTATTTCAAAAATGACAGCTTATACTTAAATATGATTGTACAGCTTAAACTAATTGATTCATCAAAATTTAGCAGCGTATTTAAATTTATTTGTTCTTGTTAATACATAAATTGTCAATAATATTTGTCATGTTAAAATAAAAATTTTCTCAGGGTCAAATGCAAGGGCCGTTTACAAATATGGAAATGTTAGAATGGTTCAAAGCAGGATATTTTGGACTGGATTTAAAAGTCCGAAGGCAATGTGATGAGAGGTTCTTGTTATTGGGAGAACTAATAGCCTTATGCGGAAGCTCCAATCCATTTCAAATCAAGTAAGATATGTTATGTTAACATATATTTAAAATGTTTGGTCCTATGATTTTCTAACCTCAATCTTGGACTAAGTTTTTTAATATTATTATATTTTTTTATAAACAAGAGATAAAAGAGGAAATATTAACCAGGAAAAGACATTTAAGTGTTTCTCCTTTGTATGGCGTTTTATTTTTTATATGTAAAATACAAGTAAAAAAAGTAAAATTAAAAAATAATTCATATTTTTTCATAGTTCAAGGTTTCCTGTATTAAAACATGACATATCAAAGATGCCGCTTCAGTACCAGTTTTTGTCCCAGTTGGCCACTTATAAACAAGCGCCCAGTCGTGTAGTACCGGATCCATGGAGCGCGATCAGCATGCAACAGCATGAGCTTGCTGCTCAAAGACTGATTATGCAACAGCAGGTGCTAGGATTCAAAAATATGTCGTTTGTTTTTGTATATATTTGTTAAAAATGTTTCAGCAAGCTCAACAAGACATGCAGTATTTACAACAAACGCCTGCTGCCAATCCTCTTATGCACATGATAAACCAGATGCAGCAGGTACATTAATTTGAACTACTTTTAAAATCTCTTATGGTAGCTTTCTAAAAAAGCACTCCATATTAGGTTTCAAAAAAGTCTAATACAATTTTTGTATGAAATCATCTGGGGAGATAATATTTGCCCTTTTCAAACAAGGTATATTATCATAAAAATTGATTTGTATAGCAGTACATTTCATTTCTATTGTAAGGGAATCACTCTGTAGTAAAAATATGAAAGATCAATCTTATATCGTGTACAACCTTCTACTTAGGCCAATAAATTACCTCCCGCGGGATTGTTGGATAAGCAGTCCCCCAATATGCCCGGTGCCATAGATCCCCACGTTCACATGCAGATGACGAACTTTTTGTCGCTGCAAAACAGGCTGCCCGTGGTGATGCCCAACCAAATGCCTTCGGGATTGCCCGGGCCCGTTCCTGGACCACCAATACCGCCTGAAAGTATAGCCGGAAGTTTGCCAGGACTTCAGGGACCAGCCATGGGTAAGTGGAGCGAATAAAGTGTAACCAACTAACAACCATAGATAAATGAAACAAGTTTAACTTGGAAAGTGCCCATAAAGACAATGTAAATACTATTTGGCGCTGTTCTTGCAGCGGACGCGGTCCAAAACTCTTAATTTTGGAGCGGTTCGGCTGTTTCCGGGATTATATCTCCAAAAATATTTTCTTTTAATTTCATCACATGTATGAACTCCCAAAAATATATTTTAAAAACTATAAAAACAGCAGTATGAGTCACAAAAATACTTACCATAATATATGTATATAATATTTATAATAATGTTGGGTCACACTTAAACACTTATATCTCCCAGATTTATAATTTTTGAAGTTTTTGACTTTGACAAGGGAAATTTCTTTCTGTCCTTGTTGGTGGTTGTTCTTAGCAATCGATAGCAGCGCCTTACAACGGACGCGATCCTTAACTATTATAAGTTTTAGCGGGAAGACGAGCATACCGATCTAAATCAAGTTTTTTTCGGGAGTACAACTAGATAAAATATATATCATATTATTAGATATGTTTCTGGGCATCTTAAAATTGAGTTATAAGAACATTGCTAAGGTGTCCAGTTTATTTTTAATGAAAAAACGCCAATAATCGCAGCAATGGGAAAACTTAATTTTTAATACGTAAAGCTTGATTTTCATGCCTCCGTTGTCCGACGATACGTTGAGACGATATTAATTTTATTGGTAGAATTTAAAGACTTTGATTGGTTAGAAAATAATGCAGTTTTTAAATTTATTGCATTTTCATGCCTCCGTTTATCGGATATACGTTGTTGTTATTTTATATTTTCGTTTCCATAACGATTTCGCTATTTTACTTATATTTTTATTAAGGTTAGATTAAATTTGTCAAAAAAGTGTCAAAACGTCCTTTATCGTATGAACGGATCCGTTGACGGGCTGAAGTAAAATATTTATGGATGAAAAGTGGCGGGAAAACGTTATGACCAATCAGAGCACCGTTGGACCATCGCATCGTATCAACGTATAACGGACGCATGAAAATCAAGCTTAACACGCGATAACTCAAGAAGCTGTTTAGATATTTGGTAAACGCCACGAATGTTTGGGAGTGATTAATCGCTTGATGAAGTTAGAATCGACACGCGCGCTATCATTTTTACATTAAAAACGTAAATATTTACCGCAGACGTAGGTTTTTAAAGGCCCGGTCTAATCATCTGCCTGCGCTCCTCCTATTTATTCTAAAATGTTACCGTGATTGACAAAGACGATACTATATCGCGTTTCTTTGATTGATTCGTTTTTGTGCGTCAGTCCATTGGTGTGCTTGCAGTGCGACCAATGGGGCATTCCATTTTATATTTATAACCACCAAATATATGTTTTGACAAGACTTTGACAGTTAAAACAACAAATTACAACAGATTATATATTGATTATTATATGATTTGAAACACCACGGCACTGGAATTAAATTTTATGTGACCTTGAACAGATTAGTTCACATGGTAGCGACCCAAACATTCGTGGCGTTTACTTTACGCTTGTTTTTTCCATTCAAAAAATTTAAAAACGCATTTGTCAACTTTTAGTGTAACTTTAGTAATGTAAATATATTTATGGTCTAATTCTAGCTGCACGAGTATTTGAAACGCCTACTTGAATGGTTTCAAATTCTTGAATTAAAAATGTAGTGATAAAGCGTAAAAAAGAAAAAATGAGTTTTTTGTCTGTTTTGTTTTTTTTAACATGTTTGATTTTTTTAAAGATATCTCATAATTGTCTTCTAAGTTATAATATAGATCATAGATTTAGTATGACTATGTTTGGATTATATTCTCTTTATAAATGTCTTCATTTTTAAAATGTAGGTACACCTGGTATGCCCATTCCAGGGATACCAGCTGGTTTGGCTGGTAATTTAGGTTTAAATGTGCCCAGGGCAGGTTCAGTGGACCGTAGTGCTGGACAAGATAGCGATCCTATAACTAGTTTGTTAAAACAACTACAACAAAAACAAACACAAGTTAGTATTGTATTACTTTTTTATCATATACTGTGGGTGAGTCTTAAATAAGTGCAAATATTTTCAGGGCTGGTAAATATCGATAAAAGAAATATCTTTTTACCGTTTATCAAATAAGTCAAATCAAGAGTTATTTTACTTTGAAAATTAAAAAAAGATATATATTTTTTGTTTGAATCTTGAGAACCACTGGATCTTTTCTAACTTTTCTTTCTTGTAAATTTAATTTGTGTACTTGCGAAAAATCTGTGTATCTGTGTACTTGTAAAACACTGATGACACACATCAGTACATGCGAGACGTAGCCGACGCTCTGTATAGAGGCACTGTAAGAAGAAGAAATTTAATCTACTACCTAATGTTGCCATATTATCAAGGTATTATGTTTTTTTAACTGAAAATTAAAAAAAATACCAAAAAAATATAAAAATCCTAATTTTCAAAAAAAAATCTTGCTGAAAAACCTAATAGAACTGTTTCTGGGATCGAAATACACTACCTCTCAAAATATTTGCACTTATTTAAGACTTTTATTTTTTTTTGCATGAAATTTTTGCATCCAAGATTTTTAATTTTCAACGAACAAGCATACATATCGAAAATAAAACTTTTGATAATACTGCCGCTTCTTAAACTGGAGGTTAATTATACAATTAAAACAAATTTTTTCAGGCTGAATCACTATGGTCACAGAAACCTTTTGTCCCAAATAATGTAGTCCCACCACCACATCAATGGCCAGCCCCCGGCCATGAACAGCCTTTATCCATGTGGGATATGCAACAGCCTTCTCCAGAACCCACGGTATGTAGAATGTATGGGAGAGGGGTCAATCACCGCGACCTTACAGATCTATTGTGTCTTCCTTTCTTGAGTTATAACTCATCATACAGTCTCAGCGCTTTAACAAAAGACAGTATCTGAGACGGTTTGACAGAGGTTAGTCTCCATCTCCGATATCAGTACTACCACAATTCATGACCCGCATGGTTGTCGTCTCGGCGCACTCAGTCATTAGGTGTTCTGGTGTTTCCCCACAGAATCTGTTTTCGCCGTTGTTTCTTAGCTTCAGTCAACTGAGGTTTTCGTTGAGGAGACAGTGTCTTGTTAAAAAACCCGTGACAATCCGAAGACCGTTCTTACTTAAATGAAAAGAAAAAATCTGAGAAGTTTTTTCAAGTGTCTTGGACCGTTGGAGGATTCCCATTCCAGGTTACAGATGGAGTGTTCCAGATTTTTGAGTTCCGCTTTAAGTTGGTTTTCACTTGGAAAGCAGAACGGTTCTGGCCCAGTTAGTGGAGCGTTTGCTCCTTTTCTGGCTAGATCGGTTACCCATTGGTGGGCTGGCATATGGCACCCAGAGTAAGAGGACCTTATTATCTGTGCCTAATTTGTTTAGTTTCTCTAGGCATCCTTTTACCAGTATAAAAATAGTATAATTTTATGAATTTTTACCTTTTCAAAGTATTTTAAGATTTAGTATGATATTATTAATAAAACACAAAATCAAAAAGTACTTTACTTGCTATCTTATAATTTACAGCAATCGTCACAACAGCCAGAACAGAATCCACCAGAATCATCACCAAAGAAGCAATCTGATCCCAGTCACAATGCAGAAAAAGAAAAGTCGAAAAAAGCAGACAAAAACAAGGAAACGAAACACAAAGATGAGGAAAAGGAACAGAAGAAAAAGAAGAAGGCCGAAGAAGAACAACTGAAAAAGGTAAATAACATATTGTGGAAACAAAGAAGTTATAGTTTTACAATAGATTTAGAAGAATTTTCTTGAAAGGGAATTTAATTTAGATAACATAGAGCCGACATGTGTAAAAGACAACAGTCTTCTACACATTGTTGTCGTAGAGTATACTGTAAAAAAATGGACGGTTTTCTAATACACATGTTATTGTTTTGCTTCATTACAAAATGACAAACAAGTACCCATTGATATAGTACAATTCTTTTAAAAGTTCCTCAATATGGCCGACCTAGTTACGAAAATTGGTAATTTTTTTTAATGAAAAATAAGTTGGCGTTAGCGAATTCAGAAATTGATTTACTCTTTGGTTAACAATAACATTTTTCAGGATTGTCAAGTTGACGTTAAAGTTAGGTTATTAGGTGGTTGTCATAAATCATAAATAAAAACATAGATTATTGAAATTATTTAATAAGAATAAAGGTATTTTACCCCAGATCCGAAGAGATTTTACTTAAAGGTATTTTATAAACTTTCTCAGTCAGAATATTAACTCCCCTGTTTCTTATATTTCAGTTAAAGGGACGTAAGAACTATAGGAAGTGAATTTTTGTTTTCATGTTTTGACGATATCTGAGAGTTCCTAGAATTATCAAGATTATTGAATAAAAATAGTGTTTAATAAGTGAAATTAATAGAAGACTTGGAAATAGGATGATGCGTTTCATGTTATAGTTGATAGATCACCCCATTTCTCTTAATTTGTTTTTATTTCAGTACAGTTAATCAAGAGTACAAATTGAATTGATGTGTGCAAAAACAGCTATATATTTTCAAACATCTTATTTAAATAGTTCTTTTATATACTGTTAAACTGTACCAACTACAAAGTCTTTAGCAAAAAGTTATAAGGTAATAAAGTTTGTAGATATAATTTATGAAAATTTATATATAAAGATTAGAACACAATACTCAAAAACTCATTAAATATACTTTATTAAAAATAACAACATACAAAAACAGCCATCCATGCAAACTGTAATAATCAGAACATTATCTACATTATACCTTTATTAAATTTGTGTCCACACTCCTGTCAGGAAAGCCAGAAATGTTTATTTAAATATTAACTTATTTTAAATCGCCAGAGACATATCAGAATATGTCACAACCACAACTAGAGGTCTGGAATCAGTACTAAATTTTATACCTAGTGATGCGTCAACTAACAAGTATAGGATAAAAAAGAATTATTAATATAGAGTGTACTCTACGATGTCCTTCTGCTTATTTATGAAATGACTTTCCTTTCAAATGTGAGGAATACCAGTAAAATAAAACATAATTTTTGGTTTGATTTGGTGTTTGATATTCTAACTACATTTATTACAAACCTTAAGTGCTTTTAGTGAGTAACTGTATTTTTTATTATTGTTTGTGTATCCTGTAAAGTAAAAAAATATATATTTCAAGAAATATAAAAACAATGCAAAAGATATCAAACAGATTCATATAAACTACTTACAATTGTACATATTATATTACCAACATACCTTATACTTTTTATACCTTATTTACGTCTTCTCTACTAACTCAACTTTTAAACCTGTTTTAAACCTTGCTGTGCTTTAAAAATGCCCGTGCTGTTTCCTGAAATTAATATAAGTTTTAATCTATTTATTATCATATACATATTACAAACCTGAAAATTACTGATACGAGGAAACTTCTCAAAATAATTAGAGACCTTTTTACAAATATCCGGACTAATTTATTTTCACGAATTTGTGGACTAGTCAATGTTTTCTAATACGTTTTTAAGCGTTTTACACATTTTTTGAATATCTTCCAGCCAATTCCTCAGTTCTTGATCGGTGAAAAGATTATTTATAAGTATATAATTAGTACTGCAGGCTAAATAAAAGAACAAAATCAAGTAGAATCTGTGAATAGAAACTCAAAAAATAATGAAAATATTTAGAAAAAGGGGCCGTAAACGTCATTGTCAGCCAAGTGTCAGAGTTCAATTAGATTTACCACAAATTATCAATTTGAACGATTTGAACTACAGTCGATTCCAGTCTAGAGATTTTCGTTTTTTAAGCCTCCCATACTGAAGTCCGCCATATTGGGAAGTTTTACGTGAAAACAAGTATACTTTGATATGTTTTGGCCCAACATATACGAGCTAAATGTAAACAAACGGTTAATATAACCTTTTTTCATCATTTTAAGTCACTGGCCTAGTTTGAGGATTTGTATAAAAACAGAAAAAGATTTTTAAAAGATTAAAAGGCTTAGAAAAAAATAACAAGAAATGAACAGAACAGTATATAATATCCCTAGATCATATATACTTACGTGGATAAGTAAATCACTATAGAAACTGTCTCAAACATATCAACGACTGTCATTTATCTTCTTTTTTTGTTGCACACGCGGTGCTTCTAATCTATCTTTCCTTGTCGAGGACCTAGCATCCACGCGCCGAATTTGAACATTAATTTTAATATTTTAATTTGTAAAATGCATATATTTGAACAATAAATTGAATGTTGACTGTCACAAAAATTAAATTATATAAAAAATACCTTTAGCCACTCTGTACAAATATCAATATTCTTAGGAAATCTAACCAGAAAGTACCATGTGGTTTAACATAAATAAAAGAACAACTGAATACTTTACTTGCCTGTGAAAAGATAATACGGGGACCTTTATATTAAAACTTCCACACACCAAACACTTTCTAGTCATTTTTACGAGTATTTAGGAAGTCCAACGAAAAAAAAAAACAAAAATATAATTGCACAAATTTAAAATTAACTTCACACTAAACACACTTGCATCCTCGGTCGCCCTTGTAAAAGCGGTCGATAAAAGAGTAATTAATACAATTTTTAAAATAAAAAACGCAAAAAACAAGGGTTGTTACACATACACAATGGAAATAAGATTATGACATGATTATGAACATATACAAAGATTATGAATGGATCGTGAATGGATTATGACAATATGATGACAATGAAAAGTTGGTTTTCATAACAATGTCATTTTGTACTTTCCAAACGATATACACGATATAAAATTGTGATTATTTTGGAAATACGTGCAATTTTTATTGTGCATGGGGGGCGAAAAGTAAGGTCGTTTGGAAAACAAACCTATTGAACGTTTCAGAAGTACAATAAAAAATGTTTGAAAATGGCATGTCGTGATGTTGGAGACATATTTTTTAATGCTAAACTTATGGCGTCGATTTATCCACGTAAGAATATATGATCTAGGGTAATATCAAATGTATCTTGGATCATATATTATCTGGATGATCCGGACACATGTTAAATTTAGTAATTGTTTATAGGAAGCCGATGAAAAGAGGAAGCAGGAACAGAGAAGATTAGAAGCTGAAAAGAAAGCAGAAGCAGAAAAGAAAAGAAAGGAAGAAGAACGAATTAAGAGAGAATTAGAAAAAGCGAAGAAGGATGCAGAAGAAAAGAGACAGAGAGAATTAGAGGAAAAACGAAAACTTAAAGGTAATTTTTTTTTTCAATTTATACTAGATTCTCGACAAAGGTTCTCGATAACGTGACGTCGCGTAATGTGAACCTCCCTGAACGTTGAGAATTAAGTTGGTATTCAGCCTATTCTAAAACTTTTGATAATAAAAATTAAAAAAAATAATAAATATAATAAAATATAATAAAAAATGAACCCTAATAATATCTTACCTCTATATAGGATAATTGTGAACATATTTAGAAGAAGTTATTATATTAAGAAACTAGTTAAAGCTATTACATTGTATTGACATTGCATTTTCACAATTTATTTATGGAAGCAGCAGTATTTGTATGTATTATTTGTCCTCATATCTATTTTTATTTCCATCTTCAGAACAGAGAAAACTGGAAGAGGAAGCCAGGAAAAAAATGGAGGAAATGAGAAGGATCGAGGAGGAGCGGATTCAAAAGGAAATGGAACAGAGAGAAAGAGAAGAGCGGCAGAAGGCGGAAGAACGAAGACTGGAACAGTTGTCTCTGGCAAAAAGCGCTCCCTGGTCGCAGTCTAATTCCAGTCTAGGCCTCAGCCTGGCTGAAATACAGAAAGCCGAAAAGGAGAAGAAGGCTCAAGAAGTGGCTTCGCAAGCTAAACGGGCCCAGTTGGTAAGAAATATTTCAAATTTACTGAGTATAGGCTTGGTTTATTCTCCGACGATGCTGTCACCATCTGAAAATTGCGTAAAACACTGACATATACAAACTTAAATGGTTTAAGTAGCGAGTGCACGAAAAAAAATTGTTATAATATTATTCGAAAAGTGTTAATGCAATTTGTGAAAATTCTAAAAAAATAAAAAGGCAACTTCTGAAGATATCAAAAGATATCTTCAAAAGACAACTCTTTTGATATCTTCAGAAGGCCTAACATGTATTATTAATTATGATTCAAGCTAATAAAACTTCTTAGATGAGTTTAAACACAGTAGCGAACATAATTTTACATAACTGGGGCTATATGGGCTGTAACGAAATTTTTTGAAGGTAGATAATTATAATTTTAGAATTTATAAAAAAAATTAAGTACTATGATTAAAAAAAGTATACCATTATTATTGGTCAAATTATATTTTTTGATTGTCCTCATAGTATATGCCTATTTAATTTTTTGATTATGTAATCGGCACTAATGTTTTATGTAATAGCTTGCCGATTTGATCAAGCTTGCAAGCTATAAAATTTTGTTCAAGGAGAGTTGTATAGGACGTTATTGCATCAAACAATTACGCCTTCCTTTTCGTGTTAACATTTGTTCAGTAATTTTGTTATTTGAAATTGTTACAACACAACGCAACGCTTAGTTCGGGTTCTTTTTCACTTAATTTTTCTACTCCAAACACTGTTAAGTCACACAAACTTCATACCTGAGAACCTTAGCCCGTGGTTACATTGGATGCGTGACCGTGCGTTTTTTTTGGTCGTACGTGCTCGGACGTGCACGCAGCAAAAAACAAACAAATGGTATCTACGCAGGCGGTTACATTGCATCGGAGTTTGCGCGTCCGTGCACGTACATCAATTTCCGTTGGTCGGATGAAAACAAACTGGTTTGTTTTTTTAATACGTGCACGTCCGAACGTTCGAATTTTTATATCTCTAGGCCCAATACATTCACGAAAAATTTGAATATTTTTGAATACCAGGTTTATTTTTATTTTAGATATATTAATGTTGCTGGAAACATTGTAAAATATTCAAAAAATTTGACCGGTTGCTGTTTTAATTCACCAAATATTTTACATATTCATTTTCTTCACCTTTTCTTGCATATAAATCATTTACCTAACATTTTCTTTTTTCATTTTTCATAAGTAGTTATTTTAACATTAAATCCTCAGACAGCATCAAAGTAGTGGCGTCCGTTTTGACAAACTCGACACACAGGACACCATGAACGCGCATCTAATGTAACCACTAAAATAAAATAGTCGTGCGAGTAAATTCCGTCAGAGCTCGCACGTTTAAAAAAACGCACGGACCCGCGTCCAATGTAACCGCGGGCTTATAGTTTTAATAACTGGCACTAGTAAAAACCAAAACCAAAATATTTAAATATTATGACATAGCCACGATTGCAATATTATTTTAATGCAATCAACAACAACGGTAACCGGGACGGCGCCGGCGTGAAATATAGTAGCCGGTTCTGGTTTCTGCCGTACTGGGCGTTGCTGTTGAAATTTTAAAAATCGGCTGTAATGCACAAAGCCTATAGTAGAATTTTCAGTTTAGCACCATCTCCTTGTATAGTGTACATGGTATTGCTGATTGACATTTGATGTAGGCGATTCAATCGTTCTTTTTGTAATCGTTGTATGTAGGTGCGTCTAATATTCTTATTTTTACAAGTTCCAGTGCGATTTGTAAATGGCGCGATTATCAAGACATTGCACGTTTCATCCACATAAAACACACATTGTAATAACTAATCATTACTATTAAAAGCACCCTAAGTTACCTCAGTACAAGATTGGCCTGAAATATTCGACTTATAAAGCGACCTATCGACCAAATCTAAACTGTGTATATAAATAATTTCCTTTATATAAGGCTTAAAATTAAAGTAACACTTAAACTTATCTTTTTAATTTAAGTATCCAATGTAAATGCTCATACTGTTAGCACACTGACATTTAAAAACAGGTTAAATAGTGACGTACTTGATATATTTTATTGTGTTATAGGAAAAAGAAATGAAAATTCATCAGCAGCAACAACTGGAAAAGGCTGGCAATCTACAATTAGGTTGGGCCAAGAAGCCGCTTGAACCTAGAAAAGTCAAGTCGTTGGCCGAAATTCAAGCGGAAGAACAAGAAAGATTGGCAAAGGTTAGTTATTCAAAATTAATATTAAATAACGTATTACGATGAATTCTACAGGGTGTCTCAAGAATATGTAAGTGGGTAAAGGTGAGAGGGGAATTTTTGGGTTTCTTCTAATAGTAACAGAAAAAATAATTAAATATATATTTGAAGATTTCTAACATACCAAAAACAAAACTTCGTAGGTGTTTACTACCAACTGTGGTTTCTCTGTTTACTTTATAATAAACTAGCTGACCCAGCAAACATTATTTTGCCATATACATTATTCCTAGGATTAATCTCATCCCTACTACTCATCTACCGTGCTGTTGATTGCATCAGAAGTGACACCTGTAGACGCCTGGCGGGGATAATCAAGTAGTGATGGGTTGTTATTTAACTATCTGTTATTTTATAACAATTATTTAGAAATAACATAACGCAACCGTTACTGCTTTTAAAAAATAACAGATATAAAATAACGACACGCAGAGATCGAGTGTTCGTGAAACGAAGTCGGCGCTCTGCACCGCCACGAAATTCATTGCTGCTCGAAGCAATTCCAAAAAACAACTAGTATGGATGGAAAACCTATTATTTCGGCAACCATCGATACAGGCGGCGAGATACAACGGACAACGGAGTGGGGTATGCGCTACGGCGCGGCGCGTCGTGTTGGGCTGACAACAGCTTAAAAATAATAGGATATAAAAGAAGCAGCTTTTTTGAAACAGTTGCGGGCATAACGCCTGGCTGTCGAGATAACAGGAGTGGGAAAGGAGCGCTGCTGCATCGAATAACGCATCAGTTGTTTTAGCTATGTTGTTTTTTTACCTGTTACGAGTATAACAGAACGGCGTTCGAGATAATCGGAGGTTTGAGACAGGTTGGAGAATAACGCATCAGTTGTTTTAGATATGTTTTTCAACCTGTTACGAGCATAACGGGCGGCGGTCGAGATATTATGGCGCTGTATGTTTCAATACTTTGTTATTAAGTTTCAATATTTAAGTATTTATTTATTCTGAAAAATTTTCAGAATAATATTTTAAGATTTTTTAAAAATGTATACAGGGTGTTTTGAAAAATCTGGTCATTGATTAATCACGATCCTGCTTAAAGCCCTTGACGTAAAAAGCTGATTTTTGGAAAACGGATTGACTTTAGGGTGTAGAGGTGCGATAAGAAGGGATTTTTCGAAACTCAAATTCTAAGGGGGTGAAACCACCCTCAAATATTAGAATATTTTTTATTTAAAAACTGGTGAGTTTTTCGAAAAAACTCTTAAACACGTATATTTTATTTTGTTGTTTTACATATTTTGAGATTTTTACAAAATATATACAGGGTGTTTCATAAAATATGACCACTGAGTAATCACTATTCTGCTTAAACTGCTTGACGTTTAAAGCTGATTTTTGGTAAACGGATTGACTGTGGGGTGTAGAGGTGCGATAAGGAGGGGTTTCTCGAATCTCAAATTCCAAGAGGGTGAAAACGCCCCTCAAATATTACAATATTTATTATTTAAAAAACGGTTAGTCTTTCGGGAAAACGATTGGACACGCATAATTTATTTTGTTTTTTTACATATTTTGAAATTTTTTAAAAAATAATACAGGGTGTTCCAAAAAGTTGAGTAATTGATTAACCACGATTCTGCTTAAACTGCTCGACGTTTAAAGCATATTTTTGGCAAATGTGAGAAAATTTTATCCAGTTTGTATGTTAATGGAAATTCTTGCTTTGCTTTATCATCACCATTACAAATTAATAATTCGATGCGAACGAAGTCGCGGGTACAACTTAACAAGTATAGCTAGAGACGTGAGAAATATAAAATAAGAGACGCCCCCCGATGCGCAGTGGACATCCCACAAATTTGCTTCAATCAGATTTTTCGTAGCGTAACTGCATCTCTCTTCCGCCGAATGCGTTCTCTCTCTATCGTGTGCGCGACCGGTGCTATCCCCAAGTCTCTTCCTATATTTGTCAAACTGTACATGCTAGTTTAAGTGTAAAATTAATTCGAACTCTAGTGTGTAGTTGGTTTACTTATGAAGAATATACTACACATTTTCTTATATTGCTATTTTTTGACCGCAAATGGTAAAATCATAACGAAGAGCTTCTCGCCCGTCGAGTGAGATGCACCCTGTACACTGCTACGCAATTCAGAATCTACGCGGATCGAGGGGTAGGGCGTAGGTAGATCGGAATTTATAGATATAGACGAGTGGCGGCATTTTGGCTTTTTTATATCGCAATTTGTAAACAGCGCTTATTTGTAAACAACCCCCGTTTTTAGAGAGGTATTTTAGATAACAATCGATATTTAGAAATGTTATGACACCCTGGAAATACTACCACCGAGCACGTCATTGTTGCAACTGCGTTAATACGCCTGGCGGTGACCGCCTCATATTCTTTCAGATATTTAGCAATAAAATAAAGAAACCTGTTATTTTTAAGCTGTTATTTTAAGCTGTTTTTTATAAATAACAATAACAGTTTCAACTGTTATCTAAAAATAACAGTTTTGCCCATCACTATAATCAAGTGATAATTGATCAGTTATCGACCGGGGTTGGAAATTATTGAATTTTTTATTGTCCATAACAAGGGGCCGTCCTCTGTTGCAAACACTGCGACCTATGAGGCCTATTGTAAAATAAAAGACTAAATAACCACAATACACCAAAACACTTTTACTTTTACACTGGACGCGCGTTTCGCTAATCATGTTAGCATCATCAGCAGATGATTATAAACTAGTTTAACGAGTTTAAAATGGTTAGCGAAACGCGCGTCCAGTGTAAAAGTAAAAGTGTTTTGGTGTATTGTGGTGATTTAGTGTTTTATTTTGCTGTGTAACACCAAAGGTTCCAACCCTCAACTGTACTAATATCGCTATTAAAAAATAGATGTTGATGGTAGAAAAGTAAAAATTTAGGGTTGTATGTATTTTTTAAGGTCACATCATAAGAAAAATAAAAAATGTCTAAAAAAAATAAAAAAATGGGGTGGACTAAACAGGTACAACCTGTTCCAGTTGAAAAAGATACCTGTTCCAGTTCCAAACTGTTCCAAAACGTAAATTAATACCATACTGGTATCATTCTGTTTCAGTTCTCCCTGTTTCTGGTTTGTTGTAATATGTTTAACTAAAAATAAAAAAAAATCCGAACAAATTTTCGAAAAATATAAACTCAGTTTCAAAAACATTTTTTCGCGAAAAAACCTCATGAGAATCGAAATATACCACCCCTAAAAATATATGCACTTATTTAAGACTCATCCTGTATGTGAATAAATACAGATTTATAATTCTGTTATATACTTGAAAAATACATTCTTGGAAGTGTTTATATGTACTATATTTATTATAAAATACAAAACCAACTATTCTACACTGTATTTTTCAAAAAAAACTATTGCATTTGGCAACATAACCAGTACTTTTTGTTATTATAAACAATTTCTTCATCCTATTCTGTATACATTAAAAAAACTCTTCCTATTTAAAATTTCTAATAAAAATTTAGTTGAATGTTAATTAAAAATATTAAATAGCGGCAACGCCGCGCAAACCGTCACAGTTGTTTTTTAGGCCTCTCTTACTCTCTTCTCTATCCCGATAACAGATAACAGCTGAACGGTCCCGTCGGCTAGACTAGCGAAAGCGATATACGACCTCGATTCTCAACTCAAACCAATTCTTTTTACTAACTTAACTGTTTGGAACAGTTTCAAGTCCCTAACTGTTCCAAGTCCTAAACTGTTTCATGTCTCAAACTGTTCCAAATTCCAAACTGTTCCAAATTCCAAACTGTTCCAAGCCCCAAACTGTTCCACATGAATAAAACAGTTCCAGTTACACTCGTCTTTATATTTATTTTGTTATGCTAATTTGTGCCGCAGTGTTTTGAAACAGCTGTAACAGTTGGAACTGGAACTGGTACAGGATAGCACATGAACCTGTTCCAAGCCAGTTCCAAAAGAAACCTGTTTCGAAAATAACATCCTGTTCCAAAGCATCATGACTATATTCTAGGACCTACTGAATATACATATAAAATTTCATCAAAATCGGTTAAGCCATTTCGGAGGAGTATGGTCACAACTACTGTGACACGAGAATTTTATACAGATTGTTAACTGAATAGTTACTTACAGGGGAACAGAATGGCAACACTGCCTATTGAGAACGCATGCACTTATAGGGTTTTCTGCCGACTCGTCCCGCCGCGTCTATCGACGAGCGGGCCGAGGTTGCCATATTTCAACTATAAAGCTCTTGCCGCGAGTAATAAACAAATTAACAACCTGTATATGAAGGGTCCAGGGGAAAAACATGACGAGCGCCATTTTAGTAATTTTACGGGAGAGACTGGACAGCTGGTGGTTATCAGGTTCTCTCCGTATATTCAATATTTTTACTAGGCATATATCATAGGATTTAACAACTTATCCCCTGCATAGTTTATACATTTTGTAGGGACCAGTTAGACCTACTATAAACTATAATATTTTAAAATCCTAAAATTAAGAAATTGGCGCTTATGAAGTTTTCTCCTGGATCCTTCATATTAGATATCGTAATTGTTGTGGTGTCTCAACAAAAATGGTTCTTGGCTATATCTTATAAAGTATTAGTCGTAAAACCTGCGGGAAAAATATATTGTCATCAAAAAATGAGTAATTTCTCGAAATTATTTTCACGGTCCTAGACCGGTCGCTAGGGGGCTCAACTGATGGTTTTTAGATGGAAAACTATTCTATTTAATCCTCCAGTGCTGACGTCCTGTCTCACAGACCTACCCCCAAATTTTTTAATGTTTTTAACTTAACGTTTTTTTTTTGAACACGCGATCTGTTTATTCATTACCGAATTTTATTCCATTTGGCAGATACACACTGTAGATGTCCGAGGCACTGTTGCAGTATCCTATATAATTTTCTATTTAACTGATCATATATATTTTTTGGTTGACTAGGAGGCAACGGAGGCCCGTTTGAAGAAGGAAAAAGAGGCCCGAGAAAATAGTCATCAGGTGCCTACCGCGAACAGTATTTGGAGCGGGCAAAGCCTGACCTGGGCCAGCGCCTCCTCCGCCCACACCCACTGGTCTTCCACCTCCAACATCAGCGGCTTCTGGGAGGAGCCGCCGCAGAAACAGCCCCAGCCCACCAAACCGTCCACAGTCGCCAAGAGCAGTTCTATGTCGACAATTAACAATTCTTCCAAACAGGTAATATCAAATTAAGACGATTTTATTGAGAAGTTCAGCGCATACAATACTTAACTTTACCATTAATTTTGATCCAATATCATATATACTTTCTTGGAGAAAGGTATAAACCTCATTAAACTATGACGTTAACATAGGAAGACATTCCTCGTTCCTAAATCTTTGTCGTCGTGTGACGTTTCTGTTTTTATCTCGTTGTTTTTAAATGGTCTATCCGTTCTACTGAGTTCTAAAGTGAATCAAATTATTACGTGTAAAATACTACCGTATGATCGAAAAAAAATGGCTTCCAGTTGGCTGCGAAATGACGATCGATGACATTTCCCATATAAATTTACATATAAAATGACAGCGATCTTCATTTCCTAGCCATCGCTGACGCCGTTTTTTCTCGATTATACGGTATTTGTTACAGGGAAAAAACTATTTTATTATTTTTTATTTTACACTTATAAAACTATTTGTTACACGTAAAACCCTATTTTTTACGCTTATAAAACTATTTGTTGCACATAAAAAAGTATTTTTACGCGTAAAAAACTATTTTTAATGTGTAAAAGCCTATTTTTTAATTTATTACTTTTCAAACATGTTCTTGAAATCCTTCAATTTAATAGCTGTTAATAAGAATTCAGTTCAAACATGGGCACATAGTGCACACACAATTTTTTTTTCTTTTACTGTATTTACTTAATAATGAAGTTATGATTATCAGGCAGCTGCACCCAAACAACAAAAAGCTAAAACGAAAAGAGAAGAGACTGGTTCGAAAAAGAACAACCACAACAATAATATAGACGATGAATTTACAAATTGGTGTTACAAAGCTTTAGAAAATCTATCGTCAAACATCGATGGTAAGTAAGGGTACCTACTTAATGAGGCATCTCGATGCGATGCTCGCCGCGAAGCATCCTACGCGCACTTACTCGCCGTTTTAAAACAGTGCGCGTAGGATGCATCGCGGCGAGTATCGCATCGAGATGCCCCACTCTATTTGTATCCTAAAAGATATTTCTATAGTAGCCATAATTTAAAATAATCAGAGCTACGGTGAAAAATGTATATGTTACGGTTAAAGTCCGATGTCCGGTTAATGGCGACATTAACAGGTTGTTTTGTTTTGTGTTATTCTCGAGATTCACCGGGTAATGTTGATATTAACCTAATATCGGACCTTAACCGTAACATATACAGGGTGGTCCGAACTGTATTCCGGAAACTTCGGCAGCATATTCTGCAGATTAAGATAAGTAAAAAAGTTCGTATAAATGTATGTCCTAAAATGCTTAGTTTCGGAAATACAGGGTGTAGAAGTTTCAATTTTATTTCGATTTTTTCCAAATAATTTAAGAAGTATCGTCAATATTTGGATGAAAATTGGTGTCTGGGAGTTTTTTGATATGAGAAATCTGATTTTCATGTCAATATGAGTCCTACTTGTAGAGGGCGCCACCTACATATGCTTTAACTGGTTTGAAGAGTAATAACTTTTCGTCCATACCTGTATAAAACTATTGAGTAAAAAAATATACATTTACAAATTTTCTACATAAAAAAGATCTCTTGGTAAAAATCGCTACAAGTAATGGTTCTCCAGATATTTGAAATTGAAATTATCAATACATGTCATCATTAACAAATTAAACATGTTGGCTAAATAGTTATTAGACTGAAATCTTTTTGTGCCAAAAGTTCAACAGAAACTGTATAATCATCATTTTCTTGCAGAACAATTTATGATTAATTTAAAAAAATAAAAATATATTATTTCAGTCAAATAACTCTATTCAACGTGTGTTTATTTTTTGTCAATAATAACATGTATTAACTATTCCCTTTTTAAATATCTTGAGAACGGTTGGTCGTACCGATTTTTACCAAGAGACATTTTTATGTAAAAAGTCATGGAAATGTATATTTTTTAGTCAGTAGTTTTACACAGGTACGGACGAAAAGTTATTACTCTTCAAAACAGTTAAAACGCATGTAGGTGGCACCCCCTACAAATAGGAGTCATTTTGACATCAAAGTCAAATTTTTCGTGTCACAAAACTCCCAGACACAAATTTTCATCCAAATATTGACGTCACATAGAAATTATTTAGAAAAAATCGAAATAAAAATGAAACTTCTACACCCTGTATCTCCGAAACTAAGTATTTTACGACATACATTTATACAAACTTTTTTACTTATTTTTATCTGCAGAATATGCTGCCCAAGTTTCCGGAATACAGTTCGGACCACCCTGTATACATACATCGTTATTTACATCTTGCAATGTTGCCGCATTTCGAAGAAATATTAGTTGAGCACAAATTTATATATCATGAATCTTAAGGAATCTGTATATGGCGCATCGCCATAGTTAGACGCGATTTTGATGCGAGACGAGGCTTCTAGAGCGTATAATATTCTTTGGTACAGATAATTGTATTTTTTTTTTGTTTAGATCGGTTCCACGTTTATATGAACATTCTTTGTAATTATTTTTACTGAGAATGAATAAATTATTATCTATAGATCATACCAAATAAACACGTTTAGTCACGTGATCAAGCTTGACCGGCACAGCGTTGCCCATTTTTACATATTTTGTTTTAATGATAATGAAAAAAATATATTTTAGGAAACAAAAATAAATTAATTATAAATAATATATAAATAGTTATTATTTACATCATTAAATCTCACCTCTTTAACAGCAGTTAAGGGACATAAAGCGTCATTACTACCACAAAACATCCCCCTTTAGAACTTTTTCTTTAATGGCCATAAGCGGGAGTAAAAGACCAACCGCCCGAACAAACACTAGAGGCGCCACCGGTCATCAAATGGTGTAAAAATTGCGAAAATTTAATCATCGAATTTTGACACAAGGGGTCGCCTTAACTTTTTTAATTTTAATTCAGTATTCATTGTTTTCAAACTATATTATTAGACTTTGTTGTATTTTGTGAATGTATAAATGTTTTATTAGCATAAAGTTGCAATATAATAATTTAAATTATATTATATACATATTTAAAATTCAAATATTATGACATATATGTCAGTTGCCGTCTAAAATGTCATCTTGATAACAAAAAGTTAGTTATTGTCAGAAACAGTTAAAATCGTTAAAATCATGTTAAAATATTAAAATTTGCCGGTTATAATTAGATATTTTATATTATTTCAAAAATAAAAACGTAATGGTACCGCGTAATGTTGATATGCAGGTCCAAAACAAAAAGTGCCGGTTTATTTTTCAGTTTTCGTTGTCAGGCGCCGAAGTTTCAGTGATTTTAGTGTTGTCGGATATTTTTATTTGCGAAATAGAAATATTGCGTTTGGATTGCAAAAAAATTGGAAGTTTTATTGCAATGTAAGTAAGCGTTTGTCCATTTTATATTTCACTTTTTTCATGCCTACGACAAATATACATATATTGAAATTTTATAATTCGTTTTATTTAAAAAATGTTAGAAAACAAGCTTGTAATCCTGTAATTGACATAATTGTTATGTAATATATTCTATTTAAATGTAATATATTACTTTACAATTAAAAAAAAAATAAATATATATATATATATATATATATATATATATATATATATATATATATATATATATATATATATATATATATATATATATATATATATATATATATATATATATTAAGTAAGTAAATTTAAAAAACATATTAAAAATATATACAGGCATTAAATGAAATTTTTTGAGTGCGAACAAACACGAGAGGCGCTTTATTATTTACTTTCATTTCATAACATGACAGACGAAGTTCTAAAGGGAGATGTTTTGTGATTACTACCGCTTTCCCGTTCAAAATATTCTAATAAGGATGGGATGACTTGTGTTGTTTCACACTAAAAGAGGTTCTAAAAAGAACAATGTTTGACTGCAAGGTATGCTAGTAAAAATTTTTAAGCTTAAAGTATCACAACACAATTCATTTATACCAAAAAATCGTAATACAAAACTAAAGTGTCAAAACGAATGACAATGTCAGGAAATAAATGTGACAACTCGAGTTGCGCACAGTGGTTCCCAAATAGGTCATTACTTAGAAATATTAATTTCAAAATGTTTGCATGAAACTGTTGCTAATACTTTTCTTATATTCCCCTGCAAACGATACATAATAAATAACAAAATCAAGTAAGCCTAGTGTAGCGCTTTTTTTTATTAGAAATGTCACATTTTTGCTACTGGTATCAAGCTGACATAAACAGTTTTCAGATAACGCCAATTAAGTACTTATTTTATTAAAATTGATAAAAGCTGTTGCCTTTTCTGTAATGGACGTTCGAAAAGAAGGTAAAAAGAACTGTTTTTTGTTTTTTGCACTTAATTAAACCTAAGTAATATTAGTTTGTGGCAATTTATTTGAAGGTAACAAAAATAGTATTTTTACATTTTTGCTTGTCACTCTTCAAGACTTTTAACTACTTTTCCTTTCTTCTTAAACGGCATGAAAATACTTGTTGCTTAAAGTATATTGCATATAAATTAATTGCCACTGGCTGCCGCGAATTGCCGCCGGATCTTATACCGGGTGGTTAAAGATTGACTTTTTGTCTTAAAATAAAAGTAACTTATTTTTTCCTCTTCGTGTCAACTTATTTCGTGGACACACTGTATATCAATTAACAATAAAATTATATGATAAAATTGTATTTATAAAATGAAACAACTGTCTCTTTTATTTTTTCAACATTTAAAATAAATTTTACCTCTTCAATATGAAAAAACATGTACATATATTTGCAAACATAATAATCTGTATACCTTTTCGAATAGTTAGAACTTAAAATGCAAATCACACGAACTGTGCCCAATTTTTTTAATACATATTACATTAAGTTTTTTATATACATTTATTTAGCATTTATTATCAATTTCTATTAAAAAAGGTGCGGTCAAGCTATATCTAGATATATAATAGCGCGCAGCTAATTAAGGGGAACCACTGTGCGGCGCCGAATATGTCCTTGGTTGGCAACAATGAATTTAAAAGTCGCGCCCCTGATTACGTAACTAAAAGTTTAATTGGTATCGCTTATATCTATCTATATTATCAAGGTATTATGTTTTTTAACTAAAAATTAAAAAAAACAAAATTTTAGAAAATTTAATTTTTTTTTCGCGAAAAAACACTCATTGACGTGTTTCTGGGGTCGAAATATACCACCATAAAAATATTTCCTCTTATTTAAGACTCACCCTGTCTATATAACTTATTTAAATTAATTTATAATCAAAAACTTCTTCTTTACCAGTGCCGACCTTTGTGAACTTTTTACGAGACATCGAGTCGGCGTTCGAGGTGCGCGAATACTGCAAAGAGTACCTGGGCGAGAATAACTCAACGTACCAGTTTGCCAACAGCTTTCTAGAGAAACGACGTTCCTTCAAATCGAGAGAGTCCCAAAAGGACGACATGTGTTCCCCCGCACCGGCCATCACACCAGCACACCACAACACGGAATTCCAAGAAGTTAAAGTAAGGCACCAGTTATTAGTGCTATTAATCGTTTCAAAAGCTTTTCCTATTAAATATATCTCAAGTCATATGGGTGTTTCTAATGTAATATCACAGATTAGGTATCCTATAAGTATACAGATAAAAATCTTGTCCCTAATTCGTGGTACGAAAATTCACGTACGTCAAATTTCCTGTGCGCAAAAATAAACTCGCGTAAAATAACAATAAACAGCGTAATAGAGAGATATCGCTAAACCGAATAGCGTGCATGGACGTTAATAAGGCCAGGTGTTATTTCCTTTACGTGAGGTGGTATTAACTCTCTTCATTTATAGTTATCGGATCGGAAAGAATTCTGATCGCGTCGCGTCCGCTATTTAAACTTAACCTAACTTTGAATTTAAAACTTTGAAATTGTTTTCTTTACTAGGTATTTTACAACTAATTCTCTTAGAAGGGCTAAGTCGTCATCCGCTGTAAACCTAAGACTCTTTATAGGTTCTTTAGTATTGGAAGAGGTGGAATCCATATTTTGGGCCATAATTTATTTAATTAAAACTAATCCCAGCTACTTAAATATCAAATTACCTAATAAAACTAAAGCAATAATTCAAAACAATTCAAACATAACCTAAAAGAAAAGATCTCGCCGGCCGGCTCCGGTTGCCCATTTAAGCAATTTTATCATTAAGCACATGCCCATTTAAGCAATTTTTAAACGTTATCAGAGGTTATTTAGAAAGAGCGCTTGGTGTAGTTGATCCGCAAATTACGTCAGGCGGTAACGTTATTAGCGGGTGTTGCGTTAAAAATTGACTCGCGCATATCGTAACCATGATAAGGTACGCGTAAATACTGGATGACGCTATTCGGTTTTCCGATATCTCTCTAATAACTGTGCCGGTCAGGCGCTGTGCACAATTTTAGAGGCCATAAGTGGGCGTGCTATGTGCGCAAACTAGTAACCTAACTAGTGCCCGAAAACAATAAAGAAAAAACAAAGATTATAATCTGTATAATCTGTGGTAATATACCGTAAGATACCGTTTTTCTCAAAAGGGGCCCACCCCTATAACTTTTTTATTTTTTTCAGATAAAAATCGATATTTGGTATATTAGAATATGACATCAATTAGGATCGATTAACGTATTTAATTGTTTTCGGTCACTTCCGGTTTCACAAGACTACAACTTTTGATTTTTAAATGACACCCTTGGTATTTATTTACTTTATTTGATAGAAAATGACATTTTCTGTATAGAATGGCATATCATATGTCAACTTTTGACATTTTTGATTAAAAAAATTGCATTTTAAATTTTAGTTTAGGGTGCCATGGCCATAAATGTTTAGAATTGTTTGGAAAAATTAAGTTATGATTAAAAATACAATTTGGACATCTTTTAACCAACCAGAAAAGACACGAAAAACATTAGACAACCAAATCTATTTTCCAAGACTCCTTGTTTAAAAACTAGTTTTTTTAACACATGTGTTTTAAAGACTTAAAAAATATGATTTTTTTATGCGAGAATGTCAAAAGTTGACATATAAACCGCACACGAAAACCCGAGAAATGTCCAGGAAAGTTTTTAATTCAAATAATTATGTATAGACTTTTATTGTTTTTCCCATTTTAAATGCCTCTTTCTATGTGACCCCTATTGATATTCTTGTTTATTTAGGTACTAAAAGGTGTAGATTTTTAAGACGGAGAATATAAAAAAACCGAGGATGCTATTTAAAAATCAAAAGTTGTAGTTATTTCCGGTGAAACAGGAAGTGACCGAAAACAATTGAATCAGTCAGTCAATCCTAATTTATGTTATATTCTAGCATACCAAATCTCGTTTATTTTAAAAAATAAAAAAGTTATAGGGCTCAGTCACTTTTGAGAAACACCCAGTATATAATTTTCAAACAAGTAATATACAAATAGTTTATTTATAACCACATTATATGATGTTGACAACGTGTTAAAGAAGGAAGGTTTTGAAGATGTCATATTATCTACCTTTTTATCCCTGTTCTACTTCCCTGACTCATCTTATATCTGCTCTTCCTGTAGCTCTGGTATGGTACCAATGTTAAAATACTCTTTGTTTTCATCACTTTCTGACATTCTGGCTTTTTTTTCTTATACAAATTCGAAGAAACTTAAATTTCAGTTTAAAACGATTTTTAAACCCTTAGAATTTCTTTCCGTCAATTTATTGATTTTTTATAATTAATGTGACGGGGTATCATAAAAATGTAGGTGGTGCCCCCTACAAGTAGGACTCATATTGACATCGAAATCAAAATTCTCTTCTTCCCCGACACCAATTTTCATCCAAATATCGTCGGAAGTTCAGAAAAAATCGATATAAAAATGAAACTTCTACACCCTGTATTTCCGAAACGAAAGTATTTTAGGATATAAATTTATATGAACATTTTTAAGTATTTTTATCTGCAGAATATGCTGCCCAAAAACATCCTGCATATTATACTACTTTTCTTTTTTTTCAGGGTAAAAATAAGAAAAGCAAAAAATCAAAAATGCTGAAAGTAGATTCGAGAATATTAGGCTTTAACGTGACATCGGCCCCCGACAGGATTAACGTGGGTGATCGAGATTACGGTGATAATTCTTAAAAAACAATAGCGAACACTTACTGTGTGTGAAAGACAGACAGAGTGAAATGATAAGATATTTGTTAATAATTGTACCTTTAATATTCTATATTATATATAATGATTTATAAAAACGTTTTCTAGTTTAACGAATGCTTATTTATGTGAAATAAATTTTTGTTTTAAATAATTTTACTGTTTAAATATTAGTTTTACATAAAATGAATGAAAAAAACACACAAGTATTTAGAATTTTTATATCCTTGATAAATACATCCTCATCCTTGAATAGAGAAACTGTTTTATTTTATTGTTCCGTTTGCAATCCAAACGGAAGCCAGCGTGTTAGTATACCGATCTGGTCATCGAAATTGCGCGGTCTGGATTTTAACGTAGCTTGATTTTCATGCATCCGTTATACGTTGATACGATGGTCCGACTGTGCTCTGATTGGTCATAGCGTTTTCGCGCCACTTTTTATCCACTTTATTTTTGAGGCAAATAGACTAATGCTAAATAAAGAAAAAACTAATACACTAATTTTTCGAACACAACAGAAGAAAATTGAATTAGGGAGCAATTTGAAAATTGGAGAAATGGATGTCAGCCTTGGTGGTGAATGCAGATTTCTTGGTATTTACATAGACGAGCATTTAAAGTGGACCCAACATATTTATAAGCTATGCTTGAGACTTGGCACAATTTCTTACGGTCTGAGAATTGTGTCAAGTTATGTGAACCCAGACTCAATGAAGACACTATACTGTGGGAATTTTGAGGCACCGCTGAGATATGGAATTATTCTCTGGAGATCAAATTCAGAAACCGCAAAAATTTTTGTGATTCAGAAAAGAATTATAAGTCTTATAAAGAAACTTCAGTACAGAGAAAGCTGTCGAGGACACTTTAAATCCTTATGACGCTTCCAGCTCTTTATATATATGAGTGTTTAATATTCATCTTCAAACATAAGTCCCTATTTGAAATGGAAAAATCTCATGAATACCAAACAAGATCCAGTGATGCCAAGTTCCCCTCACATCGTCTCACCCTGACTGAAAAAAATCCAGTATATATGTGTGTAAAGTTTTACAATAGCCTCCCTGAAGACATAAGAGCAATTGAAAGTCAAGAAACCTATAAGAAATCATTGAAAAAACTCTTAATTGAATTGGAACCCTACTTAATCAATGAATTCTTAATATAAAAGTCTCTTCACCGCTGACAATATTTCAATATGTCTATATATTTGTAATTTTATTCTACATATTTAGATCATTTTTGAAATAAATATTTTTATTATTATTATTATTATCCGTAAATATTTTAGTTCAGCCCGTCAACGGACCCGTTCATACGATAACGAACGTTTTGACACTAACCCATAGCACTAACCTTAATAAAAATATAAGTAAAATACCTGTAAAATAGCAAAATCGTTATGGAAACGAAAATATAAAATGACACCAACTTATATCCGATAAATGGAGGCATGGAAATGCAATAAATTTAATTTTTTTCGTTTCCATAACGATTTTGCTATTTTACTTATATTTTTATTAAGGTTAGATTAAATTTGTCAAAAAAGTGTCAAAACGTCCGTTATCGTTGTGGTTATCGTATGAACGGGTCCGTTGACGGGCTGAAGTAAAATATTTACGGATGAAAAGTGGCGCGAAAACGGTTATGACCAATCAGAACACCGTCGGACCAACGCATAACGGATGCATGAAAATAAAGCTTTAGCCCGTGGTTACATTGAATGCGTGGCTGTGCGTTTTTTTGGTCGTACGTGCACGGACATGCACGCAGCAAAAAACAAACAAATGCTATCTACGCAGGCGGTTACATTGCGTCGGAGTTTGCGCGTCCGTGCACGTACGTCAATTTCCGTTGGTCGGATGAAAATAAACTGGTTTGTTTTTTTAATACGTGCACGTCCGAGCGTTCGAATATTTCTTTTCTGATCCCAATACATTTCTGTAAAAAATTGAATATTTTTGAATACTAGGTTTAATTTTATTTGGGATATATTACTGTTGATGGAGAGACGCAAAATATTCAAAAAATTTGACCGGTTGCTGTCTTAATCCACGAAATGTTTTACATATTGATTTTCTTCTCTTCGCTTGCATATAAATAATTTAGCCAACATTTTCTTCATTTTTCATGAGTAGTTATTTTAACATTATATCCTCACACAGCATCAAAGTAGTGGCATTGACAAACTCGACCCACAGGACACCATGAACGCGCATCTAATGTAACCCCTACAATAAAATAGTCGTGCGAGTAAATTCCGTCAGAGCTCACACGTATAAAAAAACGCACGGACTCGCGTCCAATGTAACCGCGGGCTTAGACGGCGATGTAGACAGCGTAAATGAAAAATGTATTAAAAATAGATAAAAGTTGCATTGATACATTTCTTCTATGCAGTATATTTGCATCAAAATTTCAAATCGCACAAGTAGGTAGGTGTTTACGAAAAATGTTGCATCTAGGGCATAGGCTTGGAACTTTGGTTTTGGTTTGGTTTGGAACGCTTTTCAAGAAAATTCCTATTTAGATATTTTTGAGCATAAACTCTTCAGGCCAACAAGCAATTGTCCTCACAAAATAAAATCACTAGGAACATACCCATTCCTTCCGCCAGCAGATACTGCTTCATTTTTCTTGATAAAATAATAAATATTTACTTATTAACCTTACTGTAGGTAAATTAAATAAGAATAACCTATTACTAATGTCGATTTTGAAGTGTCATTAGAAAATTGCCATGGCGACACCAGCCATCTTGATTACAATTTTATTGAAAAATCGCTTTTTATTCAAGATCTGAGCCAGATAGGTATAGGAAACCCTAATATAGTTTGAAAGACCAGTTAAATCTGCTTCGACTTATTTAAAAAATACATAGTGTTGCATTTGAAATAACGAAGTTTTTATGTAAAATAAATATTTAAAATAGACCAGCAACTTTTGATACACCTGTCTACATTTATGGAAGCAATCAACATTTTTAGTAAAGTTTATTTCTCTGGCTTGAAAGTCAACACAAAAATTAATTCTGAAAAGTAATATACAAGGTGTTGACAAACTTTTTTATTACAGCATGCATATTTAAATATCTGATAAACCAAAAAGCATATAAACATATTAAACCCTTATAATAAATGCCTTATTTTACGTCCAAGAATCCAAAAATGAAATAAAATACCGGGTGTTCCATAAGAAAAAATATAACTTTGGTAAGGATCTTAGTTCTGACACACCCTGTACATTTCAAATTTTTTTTAAATTATGCGCATTGCCTTCCCACATCCATCTTTCCACCACATCTTTGCGTTTTCGTATAATCAACCGAGGCGAACGAGGTGCACCGCCTTGTATTTATCATGCATTAAAATACAGACCACTCAGAAGAAGTGTCCAGGATGGTATACGGGGTGCGTCTCAAAAGTGGCTCACCCCTATAACTTTTTTATTTTTTTCAGATAAAAAACGAGATTTGGTATGTTAGTATATGACATAAATTAGGATTGATTGATGTATACAATTGTTTTTGGTCACTTCCGGTTTCACCGGAAGTAAATTTGGAAGTAAAAAGTCTACAATACACATATTGCATGGTATATATACATAATTATTGCATGGAGCCAAAATAGATGTATATTTCTATTTTAAATTAACTAACCTGTATTTTATGATATAAATGAACGTAGTTTTTATCCAACTTTATGCTTTGATACATGATGTTAAATCAATAATTTTCAGCTGAATCGGCTAATCTAAAATTATTTTTAGCTTTTAATTCACCAAATATTAGCCCGTCACTCTAATTCCGTGATCTTTAATGCATACGACAGAGATAAATATATACGTTAGCAGATAGAGAGGCAAAAAATAAAAAGCGGCATACAGTGCTGCCGCACAGTGGGGTATTTGACACAGATAGTTGATCGAAATTTTTTTATGTAGACCTTATATAAATTATTGCTAATTTCAATTAAGAGGAAATAATATGAACAAAATAAAGGATAATTCGTCGATTCTAAAAAAAGAAAGAAAAATCACTGTTCCAGTGTTTCCACGGACAATGCCACTAATACCAGTAGTAATATCGCAACTAATACTACTAATGCTACGACTGATCCGCGAGCAATGCCCATACCACTAAAGTCGCTACTAATGCCAAATTGTGTTATACTGCAATGGCACTAATGCGATCGCTTTGTACACAACAATTCCATCGCGGTTTACACCTCGCATTAGTATATCACTGATTGGCAAATTAGAAGAAACCAAGAATGTTTTTCTCATTTTATCAGCAAAGTCGCAAAAAGTCGCAGTATTTTATTTTACTGTATGAAAGCCCAATGCTTACTAAGTAAAACGTATATAGACAATATGCTGAATTCTTCGAAATGCGCAACTAAATCTCTAAGTATAATAAAAATGTCACAAACTTAATCAAATTTTCTGAACGCCCAACTTTTAGTTGCAAAAAAAATCGTTAGTATAGAGAATATCAAAATAAATAATACGTTTTTGTAGAATACATACCTGCAGCTTGCTGAGCCATTTTCAATCAAAACAATAATATAAACGTAAAAAGAGCACAAGAACAAAAACAATTTAGAATTTTAGACATAAAACTTAGCCATTTACCTCTTATCTGTGAGAAGTGGTGAGAAGATGGTGAGAAGTAACAACTTTGACGTTTCGTTGAAACAAATGAATGCAACTAAACACACCCATAGCAACGCCATTCATTGCAGACATGATTTAACTTATCATTTATCTTTTTTTGGGAAATCTTAAACACATTTGCTTTTTCGAATTTCGATCACCTTTTTCATGCTAATACCCCACCGTGTGCCGGTTCGTACGAGAAATAAAATAATAAACGAAGATAATATATCTAAGCTTTTCAATAATGTTCATTTCTGTTAGACAGTTGTTTAAGAATCCATTACAGCTGTAGTAAAATGAGTATATAACTAATTAATTATGAAACATAAAGTTCCAACCCTAGATGCAACATTTTTCGTCAACACCTACTCGTGCGGTTTGAAATTTTGATGCAAAATCCGGCAATACCGCATAGAAGAAATGTATCAACCTAACTTTTATCTCTTTTTAATACATTTGATTTTCCATTAAGCCATCTACATCTCTGTCGTATTAAAATCCAGACCACGCAGAGCTTCGATGAACAGATCGGTATGTGTGTTCATTTATATGACATAAATAAAATACACGGTGTTCCATTTGAAAAATTGATAAAAACATCATATCTTTTTTTAGACTCACTTTGTATTTTTTAGACAACATATTATAAAATACTTGCAGTTAAAAAGCATGAATAATTTGAGAATGTTACATTTTTAAAAGGCATTACCTAAAAATTGTCATATATCGGAAACCTCCGGGTAGATTAAGGCATAATGGCAGATATTTGTTCAATGGAAATTCTTCGAAAAATTCAATCAGCGAAAAACATATAACATTCCATTTAAAAGACTACAACTTTAATTTAAAAAAATTAAATAATTTTTTTTTGGAACTTTGGATCACTGTACCTCAAAGTTACTTTAGAACCAACCTCTCGCAATCACAGCTTATTCATTAGACAGCCAGTCGACTTAAAAATAATTTACATGGAATTCTTTTTACCTATCTAGATATTTGCTTGTATAATCCAGTTGCTGCTGTTGCTCTGACTACCTGCATGTGTGCAAGACACCAAGAGACTGTCTAATGATTGGGCTGTGCTTGAAACTTACTTCATTTTATAATGAAAAAAAATAAGCTCAGAATATGGATGTAAAAAAACAAAAATATATAATACTAACATATGTAATTAGAAAGTAAATCAGTTAACAATTTCCTATCATCTATAGAATTATTTTCCAAAACACAGCCTAAGAACTTATGTATATTTATCAAAGAACCTCCAGCAATAAAGGGATATTTTCTTTCATTGCTCTGTGTATAATTAAACAACAACCTCTTGCTAATGTAATCCTCATAAAAAGACACATACCCTACTTCAACATAACTACCTAAATGGTTTGAAAACATCTGTATAGATATACGTAGACTTTCAGCTTTTTTCAAATCGTAAGCTGGCTTTAAAACTACTCTAAAATGATAGCCCAGTTGTTTGTATAATGTAACAACATCATTTACTATATGTTCCAAGTTAAATGTTTCCGTATTAGCGATAAAAATTTCTATGTTCGAACTCTGATTCAAATTAAACAAAGTTTTTGAAGTGTTTTCTTCCACTGTTTGATATTTTCTGCCAACACAAAATAATTTTAGGGGAAAAAGTGATTTTTGTACCATATGTTTAGTAAAATATGCCATAAATGAATAGAGAGAACTAGCCCCAACTAAATGTAACCTGTTGATATCGTCACTTGTTACACAGTGAATAGTTTCGAGAGTTAAAACTTCAGAGTTATCATATGGGTTTGTGCCACAACCTTCAACCACTATGCTCTTCACAAAATCAGAATTAGAAAATTCTACATAATTAAAGTGTAGTAACTCATTGACAAAATAATTTTGAACACCAAACTCGAATAGAGAGGCATCAGATTTCAAAAATACACTCATAGGATTGATAAATTTCAAATAATTTTTGTGTTCACCTATATTAATATGACTTTCTGTGCCTATATCTATTTTCTCCAAATATCTGAATAACTCCAGTTCTGAATCTGTGGGCGTTTTAGAATGCAAATCATTTGGTAAATCTAACACTTGAAGATTTGCACCTTCCTCGATACTGTAACTGACTTCTTTAATATTTTTCAGATCTTCTTTAATAACTTTTAAATGCAACCGGAGTTTTTCTATCTCATCATCTACCTTGTTCTCTTTGTTTTGCTTTGTAAGTTCATATAAAGACTGACCTATTTTTGATTTTGTCTGTTCTAAAATGTTCTTTTGATATTCAATATCTTTAAAAAACTTCCATCTTTCTTCTACTTTGTCTATGTCGATTTGTAGCTTTCTTAGTGCTATGTTTCTTTGTAGTTCTGATTTTTTTTTGAGTTGTGTATCAAAGTCGACAACAGGAGTTAACGCAGAAAAAGATTTTTGTGCTTTATCCCCTGTAATATACAGAGCTGACGAAAATTTACGGTGTAGGGGTTTAAAAAATAAAAAATTTCTTAATGTCATAGTACATTAATTTTCTTCCACCTTGCTTCTTTTAGATTCAACTGTATCTTGTGTTTCAATCTTCCTCTTTAGTGGAGCTTTGAAACTGCCGTGACCTGCTGCTCTCTCAGCGTCTTCAATAGAGTAAGGTTCTTCTTGTAATGCTTTCAGTCTTCTCTTATGTAACTTCGTCGTAAAATGTTCCTTGAGTGCCTGACTGTTAATAAAATATCTGGCACAGTGAATGCAATAAAACTGAGCGTTTCCCGGCTTGTCAAAATCAACTTCCTGATGTAAAAGTTGTTTGCAGTTTTCTGGTTTTAGATCTTCATCTATCTGTAAGGCATTAGGAATTAGAATGAAAACAGTAGTAGTAGCTTCATTATGAAGTTAACGCAGATTTGTATAACTTAATTTCTATCTAAATTACCTGATCTAAATCCTTTACACGGCGTTTTGTTTTATACTTCTTTTTAAGGTTAGTATCCCCAGAATTGTATTTTTTCCTTTTAAAAACCATTACACGAGTATTTTATTCAACAATTAAAGCTAATAAACTTCCAAATACGAGTCATAAAGTCTTTGATAATTTAAATAAGTTCATTTATTTTTCTACCACGTTTTTAAATGTCAGAAAACATATGATCGACCATAGATTAATACACAGATTAATAGGGGGATTAATAGATATCGATTTGAAAAAGTTTTTTTTAAATAATTTCATGAATTTTTCACATTCTATATTGATTTTAATATCATTATGTCTCTATTTAAAAAGAGGTATCAAGTTATTAATAATTGAAACAACAATAATTAAATATATATAATTTTAAAGTTTTTAAAGTTATTTATTTTGAATTTCCCAGATTTTTTTAATTATTTCTGTTAATGTGCCATCTGTCGGTCGGAGATTTAAGTTTTCCAAAAAATTTTATGGTGGGAGATTTAGCTAGAAAGATCTCTAGATTAAGAGAATCTTAAAAAGTTGATATTTTTAGGCATATTGGGGTAATTTAATAACTTATTTATAAATATATCCATTATTTGTGTGTATCAGAATATCTAAATGGAATATTTGGATTTTTTTAGATGATGTAATGATGGAAATATGTATAAAATAAAATACGGGATTGCAGAAAATTGTTATAGATGGCGCAAGCTCATTTCCTACAAAAGTTGTCGCTTCAACTCCGATTTTGTGTTGTCAAAAGTTTGTGTATTTTTAATTCTAGTTTTCGGCCAGTAAAACGAGTGTTTAAATTAATTTCTAAAATGCAATCACACGTGTTCAGTGTAAGGTGTTGACGGACATAATTTTCTACGGACTGGGACAAGTATTAAGCGCCGTACAGTGGAATTTCTAACTTTTATTCGCGCCTTCTCGTAACGGAGACCGGCAGCCATGTTGTAAAACAGTGCTGACAGGCATCATGGGTTAACGGAGCCGTGCTCGCGGACCGAATTTCTGCAGAAAAAAGGGTTTTTCCTTAACGAAAATCGTTGCATCCCGTGAATTAATCTCGTTTTTTCGTCCGCCGATAACGGTGAGCCGCCTGGTGCAGCGCTCGCGATGAATCTGCGCACGGAGTGAGTGCAACGTCGCGCTAGCTAGCGCAGGGAGTCGACTGCCTGAGCCTGAGCTAACCGACACCGAGAGCATCCCCAAATGCGGGAGGTGAACTGAATCGGCCGATTTCTGGATACCGTCGATCGCCCTTCGATGTGGTACGAACTCGCGAAGTAGTTTTGGTACCCCCCTCTTCGTCGCGATGGCCGAATTTCTGGGCAAGGACCAGGCCACGTACTCGAAGGAACGGGACGGTTTCCTGAGGGACTTGCGGCATTTCCACGAAACCAGAGGGTAAGTACTCTCTCGTTGTCGCCTACAAAATACAGCTGGATTTAACGGGTTTCCTGTGTTGTTTCAGGACGTCGTTTAGAAGATGCCCTACCCTTGGGGGCAACGAGGTCGACCTCTACCTCCTCTACAACCTGGTTACCTCCGAAGGAGGATGGATGAAGGTAAGTCTTTGTTTTTTGTGTTAACATAGTGGCTTTAACCAATGGCCTAGACGGGGAATTAAAAAAGCCCAGACCTGGCGTCCTTGAAACAAAAATCAGCCTAGCAATGAAATTTAAGCTGGTTGAGTGTGAATATTTTTTCGAGTCGGCCCTTCTGGTAGCAAGGTCAGGGTTACTGACTAAGATGTAGACTGAAGTGTAGAGACTCACGTGCCTACCAAAGTGAAGAAAAAAGCGTCTAGTGCATTAAAACAAAGATCGAGACCGTTGTTTATGTTGACCCGTTTTTTTTTCGTCGGACGGTTCGCGTTGTTGGGAAAATTGTCGATAAATGTGTGTGCGCGGACGGCAGCGATTTCTCTCTCTTCACAATGGTAACGATTTACGATTATGGAAAAAGGAACGTATATAATGTTTTTACGGTGCTCGAATGTAATCGACTCGTCGGAGGTTCGTGCGGGTCTGGGCTGTTGCATTTTCTTTCTTTGTCGGCCGGCATGTTTAATTTTAAAAGGATCAATTTACGCGAGTTCAGTAATCTGAAATATTTGCTCCAATCTTTATAATTTATTGATTTGGAAAATAAAATATTATCCGATGGTATTTCAAGGTTTCCCTATGCTATTTATGTCTGCTTGGTTTCTATTTTAATCCCTAGAAATAAGAATTATGTAATTAAGTACGGTAATTTAAAACGTATTTTCGTAATGTTCTGAAAAGTGATCAAATTTTTCAAAAGAGGTCAAAAAGTTGTTTAGTATAAAGAATACCCTATGATCGAAAAAAAAGGAGCGTCTGAGTGATCTTTGAAATGGCAATCGATGATAATTTCTCTAAGGCCGACCTCTATAATTTAATAAAATTGACATAAAAGTTCGCTAATGATAATTACTACCAAACCAAACCAATCTATTTTCTAAAAATCTATTTTCAGAAAGGGATTTTTACTGAATAAGTTTGTAGGATAATGATTGGCGTGCCTGGATACGTTTTACAAGGTTTTACTCTTTGCCATTTAAATATGTGTTAATTTTTTGGCAAGTAATGGCATTAGAAGTTTGCTTGATAGTAATTATCGATATTTTTATTTGAAAAGCTCCTAGGACGTTTTTTTTTTTGCTCTAATGGCAGATGTCATGTAATATTATAGCCACCTACTTATAACAAATTTCTAATTATTTTTTTTTCATTGGCAAATGTCGGATTTGTCAAATTAATTATATTAAATAGGTATCTTGCATAATAATTTGGCATCAAATAAGTTCAAAATCATATTGTCAATTGTACTTCAAGCTTCAATGGTTAGAACTTAGAACACTTTGATAACACTTGTTTTGATACAAATGATACATTGAATTATTTTGAAACATGAATGTTTCCCTGTACCCTGTAGTACCTATATTTATTTTAATTTTACTGTTATTTTGACATCTAATATATCCTAATCTTATTACATAAATAATTAATTTGAAATTACTCAAATCAAGGTTTCTATGGCTAGCTTTCTTCCCTTCATCAATAACAAAGAATAATACAATCTAAAAATATATGAATCAGTCAAATAAGAACGCCTCTTTAGTGATGTACGAATATTATCTTTTTAATTAAAAAAAGTATTAAATTATTAGATAATTTAATATAAATGTTATATCTTGCTTTAATTATACATACGTATTATAAATTAGAATTATTAAACAAGAAAAATAATAAAATGAAATATAAATGCATATGAATAAGATGCCCAATATGTAAGGCTTTTAATTAATTAAACATAAATGTTATTTTAAGGGCATCTTTTATTTAATTAAACATACATTTTATTTTTAATTAATTATAAGATGCCCTACATATTGCCGATATCTTAATCATGTGCATTATTTGTATTTCATTTTATTATTTTTCTTGGTCAATAATTGTAGACATTTCTTCATAGGTTACTAGGTATCTATTAATAGTCTTTAGAATATTGTTTGTAAAGACAAGTGACATTGAGTTATATGTATTATGTATTTAAGTAGATATCTCATTTTCTTAACAATCATTCTAGAATTCACACATACTTAATCATTCTTCGTATCTAATTGTTTATGTTTCAAGTGGAAAATTTCAGATATTTATTTTTATTTTTTTATGTGAAATTTTTAGTGGAATAATACTTACAGATATCGATTTTGTTTATTGCCGTAATTTAAAAGAAAATAATTGAAAGTAAATTAATTTCGTGATTTCTTTACCATCTGCTTTGTAGTTTGCAGAAGAGAAAGTTATATGGAGATTGTAAATAACGAGACATTTATTATGCCTAAAAATCCAGATAATTTTTCATGTAGATTATGCATAGTAGGTGTTTGTTTTTAGTACCTATGTTCGCTAAAATCCCTCAAATAATACAGTGGTACGATCAAACTAGGTGGTACGGTCAAAAATAGGTTACAACCTAAAATAGGTCACAACCTAAAAATTTTTAAAATGTTGGCGCCTATCGTTAGGAACTTTAGTTAGTAGTATTTATGATTATTAGATTTTTACATTTTATATTTTACATATCGTAGGTAGCTTTACTGTTTAAGAATAACGTCCAATAACTCGGTGGTTTTATGGCAAAAGGTCCTATATCGAAACCTTATTGCGATATTATTGTAGCACGAAAAACGTGTTTTGTCCAAAATTTCGGATTCCATTAAAATCATATGGTTTCATTTGGCTTAAATAGGTTCCAGGATTTTTATGGATCATAGAACTTATTGCCATATTATATGTAAAATTTCAACATAGGCAAAATTTCGACATAAGACCTTTTGCCATAAAACCACCCAACTCATGATCAGTTGTTGTGACTCAAAAAATTAGCAGTAGACTTTCAAATTATTGTGCTTTATTTGGATTTCATTTAGGCCTATCAAAACAATGAACCTTTCTTCAAAAAAGAACCTTTGCTCTCAAAATTTGTTGAGCAAAAATTTCAGCCATAGAACTTTGCCACGGATTTAACAGGGTCGAACTCGCGCTATGTAAACTAATGAAAATCGTATAGAGGCAAAAATAATGTGGTTAATATAGGAATATTATAAAATAAACACCATTTGATTTGGAGGTCACTGCATTATTTTTAAATTTTATTTCATACCGGAGTTGTTATTATGGGTATTCACTGGTTCATTTAATTGTTGGGTGTAGTAGTTATAAAGTAAATTGATAATTAATTTTACAATTAAAAATAAAATTGTGGGTCCATGTAAGGGAGAAATAATGCATAACAATGAGAACTTGTTAAATAACTTGTTCATTAATTTTTGATTACTAATATACATATCGTCGGCTTGATGACGAAAAGGCGTATCTCGATTTTTGCTACTTTTCAGGAGAGCAATTTAAAGAAAATCATTTACTTTATTTGGCCAATAAATGTAAAGTCTTTAATTTTTTAATAGTGTTTTTGTATTAACACTTAAACGGAGACATTGAGGAAACGTTCTGAAGATAAATTGAGCGTAAATTCTAATAAATAATTTATTTTTAGTTGTTTAATAGAGATAGACCTTTTTGTTATAATAATAATAAATTTATTTCCGAACGAATAGTATACATACGCCCATGTAAAATAAATTTAAAAATGACGGTAAAGTGTTCTTAATAAGAAAAAAAAATGATACAATATTCACATTATGGAATACTTACAAGAAAATACAATACATACATACAAGAAAAAATCTGAAAATCGCCAAAAAATCAGAAACAAATATTTTAAAAAATACTTTTATTCGCGTTGGATTAGATCAACTGAAAACAAAGACAATTTTCATGCCAGAAGCAAAGACAATACTCAATTAAAATACTCTTATCTAGCTTATTTTAATAATATTGTTTTTTATACAAAAATGCATTTTTTTAACTAATATATTTTTAGTAATTTTTTAGTTAATTGAGGGCATTAATACAGGGCATTTAAACTCACGGTCCATATAATAAAAACCAAACTAAACAAAAACAAAACATGTTTCTTCATTCGTTTTTTTTTATACAAATAACTGTGGAGTAACAGTTTCTGTTTTCCCTGTTCAATGATAACAAATTCGACTTCCATTCTACGTGTTTATGCTGGATGATGATAGACAAAATAAATAAAATTTTCCAAAAATTGGTAGGGATGACAATGCCAATGGCCTGACAATGATAATGAGATGAAAATTATTGTATTTTCGGGCAAGTTTTTGGTTCGCTAAAATGTTCTTATAGAAATTATGATTTCGGAAAATTTTCCATCAGGGCAATTTTCGTTTCGTTGTTGTAGTAGTTATAAAGTAAATTGATAATTAATTTTACAATTAAAAATAAAATTGTGGGTCCATGTAAGGGAGAAATAATGCATAACAATGAGAACTTGTTAAATAACTTGTTCATTAATTTTTGATTACTAATATACATATCGTCGGCTGTTGTTTTGCTTTCGATCAAAATTTTCCTTTTATTCGGCCATTTATTCTCGGACAATCTTTTGCATACCCGATACAGCCATGTGCAGAGTCTAGCTCATTCCAACAATGGTTTTTGGCAAAAAAATAGACTCTAAAATCACACTGTAAAAGAGAGCTGCTGCCATGATAGAAGTTTTATTTTGTCTCAAGCAACCGTCAGAAAATAATTAGGTAGAATGGTGTGATTTTCTCTCGCATGCATTTTCATAACTTAAAACAAAAGGACCTATCTCAAATTCCATCTTTCTTGTAATATAACAATTGGTATAACAATAATTGATATAACAAAGAGCCCTATCTCGACGTCTCTTCGTCATAACGAAGAATTGTAGTATTTGAGATGGGGCAAATTTTTAAACTAATATAAAATGAAAAAGGTACAATATTGAGATGCGCAAATTCGCTATGTTAAAATATGACCCATTGGGTATGTCATGACGTTGATATCTCAAAATCGCCAAAAATCGAGATACGCCTTTTCGCCATAAAGCCGACGATATGTAGGTTTAATGATTTACATATATC